ATGACTGCATCAACCTGCTACACATTTATGTGATGATGTGGTGTCACTTCCACATTTGTGTAACTGTAGGCAGTTACATAGGTTTCCAAGCTTGATACAGACATTCAGTTAACTCTGCTATTCTTGTTATGCTGTTTTTATGTATACTTTACATAGAAAAAAATTATATTTTGAAGTTTTGCTTCTAAGTTACAGTGCATAGATATTGAGTAAAGTTTCAATCATCACAAAACCTGGAATTAGATGGTTTTGGCCATGACTGTGGATGATTACAAATGTGTTTCTGGTTGAGAGAAAACCTGTAAATGTTGTACACTTGATGTGAAGGCATGATTTAGACCTTAACTGCTTTTGTGTAGGGAAGAGAATGCATAGAGTGAAGTCATTATGACTTATTGAACGAAACACAGCTATCAGTGTGACTTTTTAAAAATGTGTTTTTCAGAGCCTTACCATTTATGATGCAGTATGATTGCTGCATTTATGCTGGCAGTCTTCAGCATATTCCTGCCAATTTATTTCATAGCAGTCTTGATTCCTATTAGGAAGGCCTGACTGATCTGTTAGGTGCCTACCATTGTAGTTATACCAGGCACGTTCTGCATGAACTACTGGAGGAGGTTCTTATAAGACTGGTAAGTTAATAGATTATCATTTCTCTTTTACTGTTATCCAGCATATAAGTTCATTTATAGATATGATTCATCTATGCTTAGCAGAAAGTTTCATTTAATCCTCCATTGATTTGTACTGAGGTTTATTTTCTGGTGTGGCTTTTTATGTGTGCTTGCCTTTGAACTTGCTGGTTCCAGGTGTTTTATATTTAACTTGCCATATTTCTTATTTTTTCATTACGTCCTATTGTGGAGCCAGAATCTGTTCCAAGGGATATTAAAGTTAAAGACAAGATCAGACTGCTTTACTATTAGCATCTCAGATTTACTGCAGGTGATGTTATTTGAATTTGTTGCTGAATGTGCAGGCAGTGGATAAAAGATTCTGATTATCAGCAATTCTATCTGACAGAAGGATCTTCAGTCAAAGAGTGTCTAAAGAACTCTTACTTGAAGCTGATAGGTAGAGATTGCCTGTAGTTGTTGCTTCAGGAAGACCAGAAAAAAAAGTACTATTTTATACCTAGCTTTTTGAGTAGTCGTTGACTATCACTATGGCAACCTCTTGAAACAGCAAAATAATAATTTCTGTGTTGTAGAATCTGTGAAATCTGAAATATTACTAAAAATTGGATTAATAGCTTATTGTTTGAAAACATTTCCAGGTGCTTTTAAACTTTTCTTCAGTTTTCATAGCAATGATTTATATAGTTCTTTTATGTTCAAACCTGGTTTTCTAACAGGTTGAAGAAATGTCAGAATTGTGCTTTTAATCACCTGTTCTTTTGACAGCAGCTAGTACAGTTAATGCAACAATGTAAGCTGGCTCTTCTTTCTTTCTTCCATGTGGAAACTTACTTTAAGGCTCTTTCCAAGATTCTATTGCCTGCTCAAATGCAGATATTATGTGCATAATGAGCAGTAAAACTGACAGGATGTGTCTGTCACTGGAGTAATGAATATAAAATGATAGTTTGAAGTGAATGAACTGTAAAATATATAATTATCATTCATTGTTCCATATCTTTTGCAATGAGAAGTACAAAATGAAATTTGCAATAAAATGTGTTCCATCTGCAACATTGTAGGACAAAGTGTTTGATATGTTGTGGCTCAAAATCAATCTCCTTTATTAGCAATTTATACAAGCAGTTGATAATTAAGAGCAAAGAGATAAAGATTGAAAAAAATAGTGCTTCATACTTAGATATGAGATTTCATAAGTTATCTTTAAAATAAATACATGCATATATGTATATATGTGCAGAAGATGCAGTTTCATTTTTCTTCCATTGCAAAGGAAAAAAAAAACCCACAAGAAAAACAAGTTTTTCTGTGCTGGCTGAAGCTTGGCTCATTAACTCATTTTACAGCACGTAGCAGTAATTGAGGTAATCCATGTCTTTACCAAGGAGTACTAATTAATTGAAGATCATCTGTTTTTAAGATTAGGCAGACAAAAATGAATTTATAGACATAAGCAAAATATCCTCTGAAAGTCTTCATGTGAAGCTGTTCTGAGCAATTTATTGTTCTGATGTTACCTACCTGGAGGGAAGAAAACAGTGATTGCATCCAGTCTTTCCAAATTTCTCAAAATGAGGTGTTGCTGGTGTTGTCACCTCCCCTGTTTGTCACCCAGTCCCAGACCTGTGTAGTTAGGAGTGAAGAGAAGGTTTTAGCAGGTGGGTTGTACAGTTAGGAAGGTTGGTCAGACTTGCTATGTTTTTTTCTTTGGCATGAGGTTCCTTGTGCAGTGTGCCTCAGTCTAAAAGCATCTTGTCTTTGTCTGTGTAGGAAAGAGACAGGAATTAATGGTTTTTAAAAGAGGAAAAAAAACCAAAACCTTTAACATTTATGCTTGCATCTGAAAGGCTCTGCAGAGCTGAGAGTACCAGCTTCAGCTGTTTAACAGAGGAAAAAAGTAAATGCTTTAAGTGATCTATGGATTTCTTTCATCATTTGGGTATCTCCTTCCTCGCTCATTTGTATAATGAGGCTGAAGTGAGAGGGATGGTTGTTCAGGGAGGAAAGCTGTGTTAAATCACTGTGGAAGTTGATAGATTGCATTCTAAAGAGCTCGAGAACTAAAAAGCTTCTTGATTCTGTGGTTGGAGCCATCTAGGGACAGGAATGTGTTACTTGTTGGTGCAATCTCTGGTCAGAACAGGGCTTGGTGGTTGGAAATCCTGATTCCTAAGACAGGCAATTTTTTCCAGGTTTTCACCCGGAGCACCAAATGCACTCAATTTTTATTTTTATTTTTTAGTACTTAAATCCAGAAATCAGGAGGAAGTAGTTGCTAATGTATACATTGTATTTTAAAATTAGGCTGTTGACAAGCTAATTTCTATAAATAGAGTGATATGTTTCAAATCACTTAGAAATTAGAAGATGCTCTAAGGAAGATGGGAGAAATAAGAGAAAGAAAACTGAGAGGCCGTTTCAAGCTGAAATGTAAGAGAGTTTTGAGGAAGGAATAAAATATTAAGGTAGGATGAATGATAATTTTAGGCTTCCATCTGTAGGAAATACACTGAAGAAAAAAGATTGTGTTGGGAAAAAATAAAGGTTGTATTGATAATGAGGAGCAGCATAAAAGACTGAATTGTACCAAACACGGCGTTATATTGACAGAACAGCTTATAATGAGAAATGGTAATTTAGAATTTCTGGAACATGCAGACATGTGTTCATTATTGCAGTGTAACAGTGATTCTGAATTAAGCATGGCTTAACCTGATCTGAAAATGGTGCAAAGGAGCTGAGGAGATGCATACTGCAAAGGTTTCTTATGATTCCAGCCTCTATTTCTGGGCATGATTATATCTTTCCTTGCTTCACAAACCTTCACTTGTGTAAATGTAAGTTGAATTTGTTGGCATCTCCTGTGTTCTTGAACTCTTTTTGCCTATTTTCTTGAGATATTTCAATTCATTGGTTTTTACAAGGGAACCAAAGCTCTCCTTTCAAAAATACAGTTGTTACTTAAAAAACAACATGGCTATTTTGGGAAAAAAAATGGTGACCATCAGAAGTAAAAAGCTCTCTAGGCCCTTTTGACATAGCCTGGGCTATGTCATCTCTCAAGATCAAATAAAGTATGGCTACTTAGAAACAATATGTATCTTGAACATAATCAGATCCCTTTTACTGTAATATCTCTAAGCTTCTGCTGTATGAAATTCTGTAATTTTGAACAGATAATGGAAATATGAACATGAATTCTTCTACATTAAAAATAAAATAAAATGCTTACTTCCTTAAGATCTTTTATTCTAGGATTTAGCTCATTTCCCCAAGGTTTCAGATGTGTAGGATTACGTGATTGGAGCATGTGAAAACTGTGAGCTTAAATTATATAACACTTGGGAGACTGTTTTATAAAAATAGCATGGCACAAAATTGATGTATTTTGTAAAGGTTACAATTTCTTAATCAACTTATCTTTTATTTTGTTTAGCCTCATGAATAATGATTTTAATTTTGAATTTTTCAAAACACTGTTTGCATCTTTGGTGCAGTTCTGAAGTTTGTGCAAACAGAACTGCATAAAACCAAAATTACTTTAATCCTTATTTTTAAGACTTGCAGTTCTGGGTCACTGTTTACTAGAAAAGCTGTGCCTTTAGTGAATAAGGTGCAGAAGAAACTAGTACCATTGAAAATCTCACCAAATGCTACAGTGTCTAGTGCATTATTATAACGTCCAGCTAAAGTACTTCTTTGTTTAGAGATGTCATCCTTGAGACTATTCATAAGAAAAAATGCCAGCAAAGTTCCTTGGTTTTAATTCTACAGGCACCGAAAGAGGCATTAAACATTGAAATAAGGTTTTTGGTTAACTGGGGCACCCTGCAGGTTTGTTACTCCTCAGTGAGATCTGTCCTGTCCTTGGTGGTGTTTGGAGGTTACTTTTGCTATTTTGCATAATTTTCTTTGTTCGTTTCCTATGGCAACACACTGTCTAAATTTAAAAATGAATGTTTATGAATGATTCGTATGTTCTTAGCATTCATTCCTTCCTGTATTGTGTACAAGATGTGGATATCCAGTTAATGGACAACAGTGTTTGAATCTTGTTCAGGTAGCATCACCCGGCAAGACTTGTCAGAAGACACTTACAAGCACTGGCATCAGGTGTATTGAGAATGCTTGCTGTAACCTCATAATTGACAATTAAATTCATGTTCTGCAGAGCTTTCAGTCTAAACAAGAGAAAGGTAAAACTTGTAGAAGTAAGGCAGCTTCATACAATGAAGATGGAGTTATTAAATACTGGAGAAAGTAGAGTGAAATAGTAAAGAAGAATTAAATAGAGATATTTACTATATTATGAATCTCAAATTATATTTTTTAAATAAGAACGTGCAGCTGCTTACAAGAATGTTAAACGAAAGGTAAGTCCTGTTAAGCAAGATGTGCAAGTCTTAAATGTTTCTTGGACTAGAATGAAATACACAGAAAGATACAAACTAATTTATGACCTTTTTTCTGCACTTGTAACAATAATTAAAATATTTTGCTATGCCAATAGATACTTTCTCCAAGATTTTGAACTGTATAGGCTTTTGTGGATAAGGACTTAATGTGTGGTGTGCTTTGCAAGTTGCCATAGCTAGCTGTGGGACATACAGTACACATCTGAACATCTAAATTAAAGAGATGAAGTTTTCTTTCCATTAATAAAAAAGCTTGTACAAATTTAGGGCCCAGGGAGCAGAGATTTGTGATACGTTATCTAAAAGAGAACAGTAAGTCATACTGTGAAGCTTTTCTTGTATATTCACATATATATGTAGATAGGAAATGTGCTTTACAGAAATAGGGAGATCAAAAGCAGAAATGGTTGGAGACCTGTAACCAGCGGTGTTCCCCAGGGGTCGGTGCTGGGACCGGTCCTGTTCAACATCTTCATCAATGACCTTGATGAGGGGGTAGTGGCCACCCTCAGCAAGTTTGCTGATGATACGAAGTTGGGAGGATTGGCTGACACGCCCGAAGGCTGTGCTGCCATTCAGCGAGACCTGGACAGGCTGGAGAGCTGGGCAGTAAGGAACCAGATGAAGTTTAACAAAAGCAAGTGTAGAGTCTTGCACCTAGGGAGGAATAATTCCATGCACCGGTACAGGTTGGGGGATGACCTGCTGGAGAGGAGCTCTGTGGAGAGGGACCTGGGTGTCCTGGTGGACAACAGGTTGGCCATGAGCCAGCAGTGTGCCCTTGTGGCCAAAAAGGCCAATGGCATTCTGGGGTGCATTAAAAGGAGCGTGGCCAGCAGGTCGAGGGAGGTGATCCTCCCCCTCTACTCTGCCCTGGTAAGGCCTCATCTGGAGTACTGTGTCCAGTTCTGGGCTCCCCAGTACAAAAAAGACAGGGATCTCTTGGAAAGTGTCCAGCGGAGAGCCACAAAGATGGTGAAGGGCCTGGAGCATCTCCCCTATGAGGAAAGGCTAAGTGAGCTGGGTCTGTTTAGCCTTGAGAAGAGAAGACTGAGAGGGGGCCTGATCCAGGTCTATAAATATCTAAGGTGTGGGGGGCAAAGCGGCGAGGCCAGACTCTTTTCAGCAGTGTGCGGAGACAGGACAAGGGGAAACGGCCAGAAACTGCAGCATAGGAAGTTCCGCACCAATGTGCGCAAGAACTTCTTTAGGTGAGGGTGACGGAGCACTGGAACAGGCTGCCCAGGGAGGTTGTGGAGTCTCCTTCTCTGGAGATATTCAAGACCCGCCTGGACGCCTACCTGTGCGACCTGGTGTAGGGATCCTGCTTTGGCAGGGGGGTTGGACTCGATGATCTCTGGAGGTCCCTTCCAACCCCTACGATTCTGTGATTCTGTGATTCTATGGTTCTAATAGCTTTATATGTTAAAATTTTTAGTAGAGTTTTTTATAAAATCGTTAGCTTAGACCATTGTTGGTTTTTTTTTTTTTTTCCTGAAAGGTACAGGAATGGGTTGACAAAGCATTTTATTAAATTCCTATTAAATATTTAGATTGATTTGGTCAGTGTTAAAATGAATATCTCTTCTTCTCTACTCCAAAAATATGTTTATATGAGAAAAAAATATATATTTTAATTTAATTATATATATATAGCTACAAAAGCTTCTAATCATGTCAGGATAAATGCTGAGTACATTATTTCACTTCAGGACTAACCAATAGACTGCTTGCCTGATATCAGGCAGCTTTTGGTCAACAGATAAATGCATTATGTGAGTTTTTTTCAATTTTTTTTTAATGTAAGAACAGATTTTGCTAATGGGAGTTTATTATTGAAAGGATCTCAACTGGGGGGCCAGAAAATATGCTAACTGTAGAAGACTTTCTTGTCTATTTCATACAAAGTAGGTTTTGTTGTGCAGTATGATCAAATCATTGCCAATTTATACGTTGGATCTCCACTAGTAATTTGCTGAGATGCACTGTTTATAATGTATTCTTTACTTAAAATGTTCTCCAAAGAGTTCTGGGATTATGTCTCATAGATTATGTAAGTCCCACTTTATCTGGACTTAGTGTCAAAACTCACATTGCCTTAATTGGGCACATAGAGTGTTCCAATTTAAAGCTATCTATCAAAAAAGGAAGTCTTGAATGGAACTATTGATGTTTCAGTAATTTAGGCAGTGGCATCAGATGGAGAAGTGGGCATATCGTGAGACAAAAGAATAAATTTTGTCTTAACGGTTTGTCACTGGTGCAACACAAAATCTGTACCAGTGGTGAGCCTCGTTTGTATGTAGGGGGACCACAGCTTTCTGGTTTTCTGTTAAAGTAGCTAGTTAGTGTTTTATTCCTAATGCTGAGGAAGATTTAACCCTGTGAAATGCAAACATTTGCTTGCTTTCCAGCAATTTTTAGTATCCACTTCTAACCTGGTTTCTTTTTCTTCAAAATGCATTCAACTTCCATCTCCTCCTCTTGCCTTCTCTGCCTTGAAGAGGAGGACTTAAATTCTCTGTCAAACTACTAATCCCCATTTCTTCAGTGAACTAAGCCTCAATCTTCATCTTTTCTATTTGTTTATCACTTCTCTCAGATTTTAGATCTCATTCTTTTATTTCTAGCTTCAGCTTGTTCTGAAGCAGGCAGTGCAGGAAATCCAGGTCTGCATCTCTGGATTTATCCTGGAGGAATAAAGTCTGCCAGTCAGGTGTATAAACTGTGTGGAGCAGAGCCAGTGAGCTTGAACTCTGGCCCTTACTGGCCATGAGGTGTTTGTCCAGTGAAGTGTCACCCAAAAGGAGGAGTGAACTGCCAAACTGATGGCATTCAGATTGGAAAACAAGGAGGGTTTTTGGCCATAATGATTACACATGTCAGTATGCTGTCTGCATCATTAGAAGTTTGTTTTTAATTCAGTATTCTCCTAACAGGGCATTGGAAGTGCTCTTTTCATTACCATTGTTCTACAGAATAAGGATTTGTAGTACAGACTGCATAAGGTATGAAGTTCAGCTGTTTATCTTCTGCAGAAGTGAGTGAGATTTTAAGCATATATTTTAAGGGCTTCAGAAGCATTTTCACCTTTAACTAATTTTAGAGGAGGACCTTTGTCGTATGAGTTGAAGCCTACTGAAGTCAACAGATAAAACAATGTAAAGAGCTGATCTGAGTGTTAAAAAGGCCTAAGCTTTCTGCTGATTTTACTGTTATCAACAAACTCTTTAAGCTAGAGATGAGAGAACATATCAGTGTGTTTAAGTGGAAAATAGATCCGTTCTGCTATTTTGGAAAAGAAGAAAGGAAAACATTTGTATTCATAAAGCAGTTCTTAACTCATAGAATTTGCTACTGCAAGCTTTAGCTTCAAAATCAGTTAAAGCAGCTGGGCAATATTGACTCTACCTTATTGTCAGTAGCTACAACTACTAAGCTTCACTTTTTTCTCCTTTCGTATTTCTTCTACGAAGTGCTGTTTTTTGATCAGTATTATGTTCTATGTATTTAAAGTCAGAAAACATCTAAAATCTAGAAAAGATACTGTACATTCCTCGCACTCCTGTTTTACACCCCCAGCTCCCTAGTAGTGCCTATCTTGGGTTATAGTTCTTGTTGCTTCTTGTAAGATAGACGTATAGCCCATATTATGGTCCAGTTATGGTATTACTTCTGCGCTGACAAATTGAAGCTCTATTTATGTACACTGTGACTTGGAAAATCTAATTTACAGAGACTGTGACTGTCTTCAGAAAGCCCTGTACACATCTTGCAGTGTGATAAAGCAGGTAGTCACCTTCTAGCTTGGTAGATGCTAGCAAGTAGACTGTGTACCTGCAGTCGTACGTGTAGGAAGGAGCTTTGGGCAGATTGGCAAAGAGCTCAGGGAATGCATTTGATACTTGGCTTTTCCTATTCTGTTAATGGATTGATGTCTTACCATGATATTGTTATCTTGGAAGGTGTGAAGTACTCAGATGGAATCTTCCTTTGTGAGTGAGTTTGGCATGAGATGGTTTCTCTAACCATGTATCAGGTAGCAAACTGCAGAGTGGGATATTGAGAAAAGGTCAGGAAAGGGTGATGCACAGGGCATAGTGCAGAGAATGGCAGAAAGACACCAAGGTAGAAAGTAGGGGCTTGCCGTTAATTTTTTTTTTCCAGCAGATATTCCTTCTGCTCTGTTTTGGCTTTTGTCCTTGACCTGACTTTCAAGATATGCCTGGGAGCACAGGGGTTCCTTTGGACTCTACACAGTTATTTTGTTTTTCCTTAGCTTTTTTTTCTTTGCTCTTTTTCAAGCCAGATGCATTTGTATGTGCAACACAGAGTAGTTTTCTACTACAGTGGTTTGATAAAACCCAAAAGTTTGTAATCAGAACCTTTGGTAAGAAAATCTCTAAATGTAATTAATGAAAAAGAGAATTGTTATATCGTACATCCTAGAAATTATTTACATTAACATTTTATATGAATGACTAACAAAGTATGTTAGTTAGAAGTTTAGAAAACAAAAAACCCACATAGTTCTGGTATAGGTCAACTGTATGTCTTAAATATGTTTGAATTTTTGAATACATGGTACTGATTTTGACTTCTACCTAGACAGAAAAATGCAAGTAAAAGGCATATGGTGAATCAAGAGCAACACTTATTCTGTACTGCATATATCAATCAAACACTTTCATTCCTTGGAGGCGGATCTTTTATATTTAAAAAATATATATATATATATTATTTTTGGAGTTACTATAGGAGCGTGTCTTAGTTTCAGCTGCGACAGAATTGGTGTGTTCAGAGTGTCTGCTGTGATGCTATGTTTTTAGTCCTTGGAGAAAACCAGCGTTGATAATACACTGATGTTGCTGCTAAGCAGTGTTATACAGAGCTAAGGCCATTCTCAGTGAAGGGCCACAGGAGCTGGGAAGGAACAGAATTAGGACAGCTGACTTAAACTGGCCACAAGGGTATTCCATACCATCATCGTGTGGAAGGAGTTCTGAAGGGAGTGCAAGTTCAACTTGTTCTCTTCCATGCCTGAGGGACTAGCTGTGCATGGGCTGGGGGAACGGTGAGCAATTGTGCATTGCTTGTTATATACATTCATATGTATATATTTAAATAGTAATAAATATCATTATTTTCCTATTCTCTGTTTTAGTAAATAGTTTTATCTCAACCCACAAATTTTACTTTCTTTTTTCCCTGATTCCCTCCCTCATTCTGCCAGGGAGGTAGGGAAGTAGCAAATGACTGCGGTGCTTTGCCACCTGCCAGGTTAAACCATAGCAGCGTACTGCAACTTAACATAGCCCAACGGAAAAAGTAATTTGCTGTTTACCTCTTATCAGCTGAATTTCGTGCTTTTTTTTTTTTTTTTTTGCTCTTTTTCTTTGGAAACTTGACTTAAAATTTCATTTTCTGATGTAATTGATAAAATAAACCAACTTTAACACTATTAGAGCCATTTAAAACCAAATGAGGATCAAAATGAAAATTGTGTGCATAATTATGTATCTACATACACATGCACATCAATAAGATAATCTGCTATTCAAATATGGTTTTGGAAATCTGTCAGAAGGGTAAAAATATTAAAATTTGTCTCACAGGTTTTTTGTAGCTTTCTACATTACTTTCAGAGCAGCCCTTGTATTTGAATGTCAGCGCTAGAAAACAAGAGGGTCAAAGGAAATCTTGTTTTGAACATATCCTGCTCTAAGGAAGAAGAGTTGATAAGTGGATGCATTGCACGTGCTGTTTTTATTTTGGTACACTGATAAAAAAGTAAAGAAAGTAGATAAGGGAGGAGAAATGACATGTTTTTAAAGCAGGCATCACTAAAAAAATATCTGATTTGTATTTAAATGAATTTAATTCTCAAATATCTTCAAATGTGACTCAGTAGCTAGAGTAGGAAGGAACAAAACACTTCTGAAATCTTTTTTAAAAACTAGTAACCACAGAATGCATTAATCTCATATACTCATAACTGTTCATTTGGAGAAGCACTAGAAGCATTAGAACTTGTAAGTAATTAGAACTTCCATTGTGTTTTGCTTTTGTTTTATTGTTCCTTTGTTCCTGCTATGCTAGTCTCCAAGGTCTAGAACTAAATTGTAGCAATTGTTCTTAATCTACTTTCTTCTCTTCCTACTCTAATGTAATATAAGGAATTATGTTGCTGTCATTGACTTGCCTGTTGTTGTAGCTCATGGGACACTAATAGAAAAAAGATACTGCTTGTAGAGTTGCAATCACTGAATGCTGAGATGATTTCTTAAGCAACAGCGTCATCAAAGTGATTATGCAGAATCTATTGTAGGAATAAAAGCAATTTATTTGGTGTTTTTTTAGATTTATTTTGATTATTTTAGTATGCTTCTTGCTGTTAATTTTTTGTTTGTTTGTTTTATTGGTTTGTTTTGTTTGTAAGAGCTCAGGCAATTAACAGAACCAGGAAGGAGGAAAATCTGCCTTTAGTATTTTTAGTTGCTTAAGGACTTTCTTTTTCATTCAGAATGATTCAGTTATTGTTAAATTGTATCTGCATTTAATCAAAAGATGGATTGTTATTCTGTCTGTCAAACTCTTGGGGTGGTATTGGAATACAAGCAGAGCATATTTATGTGTACAACTATTTCTGCTGAGGCAATTCATCTATTCAAATAATACATATAAAACACTTCAACTGCCTTGCAAACTAAGATCTCATTATATAAACTCACCAGTTTCTCCTTCTGGGTGTCCTGTTTTTACATAATAAAGAGATCTGAATTTCCTACTTTCCTTTCACCTTTCCTTGATGTATCCCCAGTTTAATTTTTCCATTGCTTAGTTATTGGCAGATGGGTAAACTGTGGAAAGTTAGTACAACTTCCTCTGAAACAATATATACTCCAACATATCTAAGGTTCTCATTTTACTAATTGTAGTATTGAATAATTCAGCTTTAAAAGAGCCTCAGATTGTTCTTTCTGAGACCACAATTCCTTCTTGCTCCTTTGTTTAATCATTAGGAAAAAGATGTAACTTCAGTTAGCCATAAATGTATTTATTTTTTCCAAATGACTAGGGAACAAAAGAATTCTTAATTGTCGAGCTTTTCAACTGTGAACAAACTTTCTCAGTTGTCTTTGATGTCTAGAACTACTTTTTCCACTTTAAAGAAGCTCTGTGAGTGAAATATCAAACCTGTTCTTGTGTGAGGGTTTTTGAAGACAAGGCAACAAAGAGTTGGTGGTGGTGTGTATGTGCGAGGGAGTGTTGGTTGTTAGTTGTTTTTTTCAATGTCACTACTGTGTCCATTTCTCAGACCCCCCTGTTCAAAAAAGACAGGGATTTTTTTTTTTTTTTTTTTTAATAAGGGCATGTAGCGACAGGGGAAGAGGGGAAATGGTTTTAAACTGAAAGACGGAAGTCTATCTTTTAGACTAGATATTAGGAAGAAATTCTTTACTGTGAGGGTAGTGAGACACTGGAACAGGTTGCCCAGTGAGGTTGTGAATGCCCCCTCCCTGAAAGCATTCAAAGCCAGGTTTGTTGTGGGGCTGTGAGCAACCTGTTCTAGGGGGAGGTGTCACTGCCTATAGTAGGGATCTTGAAGGTCCCTTCCAGCCCAAACCATTCTGTGATTCTCCTAAAAGGAACCCTCCTAAGAGGAGGGCCACAAAGATGATTAAGGGCCTGGAGCATCTCCCATATGAGAAGAGGGTGAGTGACCTGGGTCTGTTCAGAGTGGTGAAAAGAAGATTGAAGAACAATTTGACTATTGTTAATAAATATTAAAGGAAGATAGAAGGCAAATGGATGAGGCCAGGCTCTTCTTGGTGTGCAGTGACAGGACAAGGAGCAATGGTCTAAAACTTGAACATAGAAAGTTCCATACAAACATGCAGAACTCCTTTACGGTAAGGGTGACGGAACACTAGAACAGATGGCCCAGAGAAATTATGGAGTCTTCTATGAAGATATTCAAGAGCTGTTTGGACACTGACCTGTGCGACCCATTGTAGAGAATTTGCTTTAGCAGGAGGATTGGACTTAGTGATCTCTTGAGATCCCTTCCAACCCCTGCAGTTCTGTGATTGTTCTAAATAATTCCATCTAGTTAAATTTGATTTTTGTTTAAGTGTCAACCTTCTGTCTTGTCTGGAGATGGATGATTCCTGTTACTTTACCAGTTGTTTTTGTTGGTGTTTGATACACACAACTAAATAATATGTATGAAAATTATCTTGCATCTGAACTTGGTGGTAATGTGATAGACATCCTTAGCACAGTATTTACTGATGCCTGTGGTAAAACATGCTTCAAATTGCAATTTATATTACTTCCATGGGAGTTACAAAAATGTGAAAGTCAGATGATGACTATGTGATCTAAGTGCTGTTTATAAGCATAGCAAAGCTATGCTGCTTACAAAATAGAAAGGAAGACCAAGTCCTGTTACCATGTCAATAAATAGAGGATGGTTGTTAAGAGATCTGGTGATGCATGGTTTATTCTCTACAAGGTACAGAATACAAAAGTACTTTTAGGTATTTTTTTAAAAATGTAAAATGAGTAATTGCCTTAAGTATGTATTCTTGCCTGCCTTTCTACTTGCTTCTGAATCTTGACAAAAGCTGTATTTCTTTGGACATTTTTTTAATTGGATCAGAGTTTTGCAACCAAAAGCAATTCCTTTAAAAGTATCTGACCATAATTATGTTGGACAGTTTGGAACACATTAAAAACATTTTGAAAATTGGCTTTTTATTTCAGTGTCTTTATTGGAGGGTTGCCTGTATTGTCATTTGAATGCTTATAAAGAAACTTGGGGCCTTGTAAGTGACTTTTGAGTAGTAATATTGGATATGTGTTAAATGTTTTCTCTTCAAAGAAGATAAGATAAACTAGTGGTATATGAACTATAAATTAATTGATCAGACAATTTTTTTCTTCTTTAGTGAACAAGCATAAGCCCTGGATTGAGACATCGTACCATGGAATCATAACCGAAAATAATGACACTGTAATTTTGGATCCTCCTCTTGTTGCTTTGGATAAAGATGCACCTGTTCCCTTCGCAGGTAGGAAAATGCATTAGTAGCAGTATTTGAGAATATGGACTGCATTATAAAGTTATTATTATTTGTAAGAAATTAATTTGTTGAATAGAGAGAATGTAATCTGAAGGACATTATTAGAGACTGCATTTCATAGAATGATAGAATCAAAATGGCCTGGGTTGAAAAGGACCACAATGATCGTCTAGTTTCAACTTGAGTACAATTTGAGTACTCAGGACTTGACCATTGGCTCATAGACCTTGAAATAAGATGTGTATCTGTTTTTTTTGTGAAGCAGAAGTGATTATAAAACAGCAGGCTTACACCATTAACCTTTTTTAAATGAAAACATGGGAATCATATAATGAAATTTGAATATACTTTTACAGAAACCAGTCATTACAATTGCCTAAAGTAATCATATGTAGTTAATTCTGTTATAAATAATAACTTATTATCTTCCTGTGCCACACCCTGATCCAAACCTGGCCATGGGCAAATTCCATGACAAATATTTAAAAGGAGCTCAAATTTTATATTACAGTGTTAGTACTTTATAGCTGTCAAGATTTGGACAGAAAATGTAATAGAGGTTTCGAAGATTTTTGCTAAGATTACTGTATGATAGATGTATGCCCTATAGAAGTTTTAACCTGTATTAACCCGACACTTATTCTGTCAAACTGTGTACTTTAGCAGAAAAGAGTACTTTTGCATATCAAGCTAAGTTTGCTCTTACATTCCCTGCCTTATTAACGGTATTTCTTGTGAAGATATGGGAATACATTAAGGTTTTACAGCTGTTATGAAGATCCTAAAAACATTTATTTCTTAAAAATATTTTATTGCTTAAGAATATTTATCTTGTATAAGCAAAGGAGCTAGTGAAATATTCTGTGAATAACCTTAGAATGTTCTTGTGAAATACAGTCAGGTTCAGGAAGCAGTAAGTTACAGTACTTGGCCCAAAAAGTATTTTATAATATCATGTAAGAATTATTAGCTCTTTTCCCCAAAAGCACATAATGGGATAAACTCATTTCATGCAAGACAGAGATTTACTGATGTTTTTATATGCTTAACTCCATTTTAAGATTGAGATTGATTTTTTTTGACTCACGGTGCTCCCTGGTTCTTGGCCTCACAGAATATGTTTCTTCCTCAAATACGTATTCATTGGGGGAAATTCAGCAGAGGGCACTGAGGTGAATTTATTCAGAGGTAAAGACCTGGAAGAGCATCTAATATGGCCACAGCAACCTGAGCACCGAAAACTGCATATCAGTTTTTATGACACTGATTTACGTGCTACTGGAGAAGTAATCCTTATGCATTCAGAGATAAGGAAGCTACTTCTAAGTGGGACATGCTAATTATAGTTGGAGCAGGAGTATTTCATACATAGATGCTCAGGGTATGGCATCACGTTTCACAAACTATTTTTTAAGCAAAGAAAAGAAAGGAAAAAAAACAGTTTCCAAGTTATTTGTTTATGCGTTCATTAAGATATTACTCTATTTTAAAATAACAATTGTGGAATAAGACTTCATATGATAAGCAGTTATCTATAATACATTTGTGTAGTTTTTTTTTTTTTCTTAGTGCTGTCTTTCAAATGTATATTCAATTCATTATTTCAAATGTTTGTGGAAAACAGTAGTAAGTTTTATTTTTGCAAGGATTGAATTTATGGAACCTTCAGCTACAGTTATTTAGGAATTAGACCTTTTCACAATTAAAAATCTCCTTTTCATTTAGGGGAGAGTCTTCTATTGGTATGAACACTTATCTTATTGCCTCTTTCACTGCTATTCCCTTGGGAACCTTATAGGGATATTCCTCATGTGCTATTTCCACTGATACTTATTCAAAATGTGTGCTAATTGTTTGATAACTTAATTTCTTTCCTGTGTTGGGATAATCAACATATTTTTCTTGAGTTAGTGATTTACCTTTCCTGTAGAATATCATCCTTTGAAATATTGAACTTGCACACACGGACAGACTTGTGTGATTTAAAAGGTTACCTTAGTTAATAGTTTTAATCTAGCTTCTTCATTTATTGATATTTATTTATATTTCAGGAAGCATTATGGGGTCTAGGAAGGAAAATACATGGCGTATATTCCCTGGCATTAATATTTCAGTTCATTTCCACTTACTCATTTGCTTTTGGCCTTATGGTCTACAGTCTATACATAATATTATAATTCTGACTGAACCCATTATTCCCTATCTGTTTTGAAATACCCCTGTATATTATTTTTTTTAACAGGCTCTTTAATTTGTTGAAGTAACATTTATTCTTATTTCTATCTTAAGTTTACTATCATGTAATTTAATTTGGCATTATAACATCCTTAATGTTGTTATAGGTCTTTGTGGAAAATTCAGTTTGTATGATTATATATAGTAGGAGCAAACTGAAAATGTACACAACTAAGATTAACAATACTCACTAGCCCTACATTTAGTAGTATTTTAATGTAGAGTGGAGAAGAAGTCTTGTGCTCCAGACCCCTCACCATCTTTATTGCCCTTTTCTGGACATACTCTAGGGCCTCAATGTGTTACTTGTAATGAGGGGCCCAAAACTGAACACAGTACTTGATGTACGGTCTCAAATTATACCAGAATTGTTCCAGAGAATCAGAGCTCTAACTGTTCCTTCACTTTTGCCCTATTAATATTTTTATTATTTAGTTGTTTGAAAAAACTTTAGCCTTTTGAAACAGTTTTCCATTAACTGTTTTTCATAAAAATGGGCTCATTCAGTAATGTGTCAGGGCAAAGTTTCTGGCTTACACTTAAATATCTGCTTGGATCTCCCTGAACAAGATGTATTAAGCTTAAATGTATGTAGATTCTTCCTCTGGAGCTATAGTTGCTGCAATAGTTCAAATGAGGTTCCAGCCTTTGATGCATCTCTCAGCTTGCCTTACAGTGTAGGAAGAAGCAGAAACTCTTGCCATTTTCTATTTTCTTTAATGCATTTAGAACTTAACATGAAGATGCTGCCCTTTCAGAAGGGACAAAATTTGGGTGCAACAAAGCTGTTGTGTCAATCAGGTCCTTAGTAAAAAGGAAGTTTGCTCAGAATCCTGGTTTAGGTAAGGCTTGCTACTAGAGCGCAATCTTTGTTTTGCAAACTTATTAAATTGGGCTAAACCTCTCTTCTAAGTTAGAAGATTGGTGCATAGCTCTCAAAGGCTTTAATTCTCTTTTCATTAACCCCACGAGTATTTACATATTACACTACTACACTTACAACTTCACACACCTGCAGCCTTTGCTACCTTTTATTTATTTTAAAGAAAATTTACTAGCTGAGGCTTAGTTCTTCAATCTGCAATCAAGTTATGTGGGCATGAGATTGAACAATATTCATGGAAGTATTTAGTATGAGGTAGAATAGCAGCCTGAAATTCTAGAGCTGAGAAAGCCAGGAGCATGTTTAGTACAATTTTTTTCTTCTTCTAGAGATATCTAGGTCAGGATAGGTCTTGTATGGACTTGGTGTCGGAGGGAGACAGCAAGATTATTTCTTAATTGGTGCTGTAAATTGAAGAGTAAGTTTCAGTATCTGTGAAATCAACCAAAATGCCACAAGAAGAAAAGAAATTTTAAAAAGTGCTTGACTGGGAAGATGTCCTGTATTGATCCAGGGCTATTGGACTGCTAGTCTTTTTTCCAGTGCAGTGATCAGTAGTGAAGTGACGACAAGGGAGAATTAAAATGTTTGAATAGGCTGCAGATTTCTAATGTTAACCTCAACACTGGAAGAAAGGATGAGTCCAACAGTCATAAATACAGGAAACCCATGGTCTGAAGGCATAGTCACGTTGCTTAAGAGGCTGCTCTCAGCTGCTTCATCTCTGCTCCTTCTAACAAGTTCTGGGACAGAAGTCTTACTAGAAAGTGGCACATTGTATTTCACTAAGATAAGGGGATTAAACTTCCACAAGAAGATATAAATTAAAAAAATTGATAATCAGAGAATTGTGGAATGGCTTAATTTTAGGAAACCTTGAAGCCCACCAGTTCCAACCCCAGCAGTGGATGGGACATCCACAGCTTCTTTGAAATTTCAATCTTCAGTTCTTTCAATCTCAAATTCAGTGCACTGAAACCATGTGTCAGAGGTTTAATCTCCAAATTAAATCTGCATTATGCTTTATAAATCAAAGTTAGTGTTGAGGACCGAGATATCTGCCGATAGTCTAGCGCCATGGTCTCTGGGGTTATAGTGATAACAAGATGTATGTTGCTAATAGCAGAAGCTAGCAGACAAAGAGATTGTGTTTTTGTTGTTGTTGTTGTTGTTTTTTCCCTAACACAAGAAATTCAGCCTTGACTTAAAGGAACCAAGACGGGGCTGTTCATACCACTCAGCGTAAGATCTCGGAGTTCAGCAAGAGTACGCTGGAACTGGTCTTAGTTGTGTATTATTAGAGATCCTTTGAGCAAAGTACCTTCTTCCTCCTTTCAACTATCGTGGTGTGCATACAGCAAATGCATTTCATGCATTTCTTCTCAGCAAAGAATCTGACCTGCTGCTTAGCAGCACTAAGTCATTAAGACATTTGGTATTTGCCTATGATTTTTATTTGCTCCCAGTGGTTTTGTTTTCTATACTCATTTTTCTGTTGGGTGTTTTGTTTTGTTTTCATTAGTTGTGGCTTATACCTGCTCTTAGTTTTTCAGTTGTCTCTTCTGGAAACTTTAACTTTGTTCTGAACACTTGTATCCTAGTAGCCATGGAGAGGAAAAAAAGGCACATCTTTTACTGTTTTGTCAAACCTTTCTAGTATTATACAGACGTTATGGTGCATGTCGATCCCCTATTAATGGAGTGGTCACAAAAGAAAATGCATTCAGCACTGCTTTTCTCTGCTCTCTTACATCTGAAGTCAAAAATGATGACAGGATAAAGAAATCTGTGCAATTGCCCCCTCAACAGGTCTGTGTTTCTGGGGAGGATTGACAGGAAATATAGAAAACTCTTAATTTGGTCTCTGAAA